GGAATTACTGATGTAAAATAAATACAAAAATAAATACAAAATAAAATAAATACAAGATACAAAAATAAATAAAAAAAAAATAAAATAGGAAGGAAAAACAAGCAAAAATTAGCAATCTAATATAAGTAGCAAATTGATGTAATGCAAATGTTAGCATAAATTTTTGTTAGTTTCATACTTTTTTTTTTTTTTAAGCAGTAAATTTATCAGAAAAATTTTTCAAAAAATAATCGAAATTTTCCATCGATTTATTTGTTACTTTTCTCTTTTTTTTTCTAGAAAAAAAAAATGAAAGTTAAATAATTTCTATATTTTTTACATTAATGGTACTATACAAGATGTAAAATGAAACCTTCCATCTAGAATGGTGTGATAAAAAAAAAGAAAAAGTGATAAAACAAAGTTTCAAATTTAAATCCAATTTAATAATAATCTATATCATAATAAATCAGGATAACAAAAAATCAAGGTAACAAATATGGATTACGAACGTAATGATCCTCGACGTCATTATATCTTACGTGTTGCATCGCATATTTTCGCATTGAATTTATCGGAAAATAAAATTTCAAATTTAAATCCAATACAACATTTTTGTGACACCAATGCGCCATTGTTGATTATTGCCAAAGATGAACGGGTTTGCTAAACATTTTCTTTTTTTTTTCTCAATTTTAATTTTTAAAAATTTCATATCAAATAGTTTTCAATTTTTATTTCAAAAAAAAAAAAAACGAATATTTTGCAACTATTTGTATAAATAATTATTACAATTAATGATTTATTTTATCATAAACGATTATTATTTATGCAAATTTTAAAGTGTAAAATTGAATTAAATTTTTAGAAGAATACATTAGATATTACCAATGAGATGCGAAATGATTATCATGCGGATTTAATACAAGTGATGTTTTATAAACTTGAACCAACTGCTTTGCCAATGGATAATTATAAAAGCAAAATATCAGTATTATCATTACGTGGACGTCCAACGGATGCATTAATTCGTTCAATGAGAGAAGTTAGTAATTTAAATAATTGTTTACAACCTTAATCAATAATTAATAATTAATTAGTGATTTGATGATAATTGTTTTATTATTCAAAAACAAGCAAGTATTCATAATGAAATTAAATTTTTAGATATTTAAACGAGCAATTGAAAATGATTCCGAAACATCCGTAAATAGCCATTTACGTACGATTTTAAATGAACTTGAAATGTGCATGGAAGCAAAAAATGACAAAGGTAATTTACATTTTTAAAAATAATAAATTAAAATTTTAGAATTATAGCTTACACATACAATTATATATCTAACAAGTAATGAAAAGTAACATTTTTTTTTCCTCCTTCCAATCTTTTTTATCATTTATTGATTATTTACCGAATATTAATTATAATTTAGAGAAGTTTCATGGAAAACGTTCTATACACGATGAGATTAATTACTGGAAAGGTCGAAAGGATGATGCATCATTGCAATATTCCCAAGCATTTCAAATTCTCAATATGAAACTTGAAATGCTTACGAATTGTCGCATAGATGAAATTTATGAAGTTATTGATACCACTGAAGAATGCTTAAATCAACTTTGGAACTGTGAACCATCATTTCCACAAAATCGTATGGAACAAGTTATGGATAGTATTGGTAAATTGATTTGAAAAATTGCAAAATATCATTTTTTTTGTTTTATTTATTATTTTTTTTTTCCAAATCTTCATAAATGTTTATAGCATTTTGTTTCATTTTACCAAAAATAATATCATTCCAAATTGATTAAAAAGTAAAAATTTTTTGATGATGACCAAATATATTTTGATTTCATATAATATTTAAATTTTTATTTGGCTTATATGTTACAACAATTTTTCTAATTTATAATATTTTATATAGATAGATTTTTTCTAATTTATAGCACTTTATCATTTATATTTAATTAAGTATTCATTAAATTAATTTTTCATTTTCGAAACATTTTAGTAAATGTCATTAATTATATAATTATATGCAACACAGATGTATTAATGAGTGCTGCATATAGATAAAACAGATTATAAGTATGAGTACCACATGCAGATATCATTAGTGTCATTACTGAATACTGATCTTCATCATATCATTATCATGAAGTATAGTTTCACTTGGTAATAAGAGGCTATATTGATACTCTTAAAATTCTAATAAAATCTTAACTTTGTGTTAATCATTTCCATATGTATTTTGTTAGACGTAATATATCCATTAAGCATAATTTCATTCATTAAACGTGAAATCATTCATTAAACGTGGATTCATTTATTAAACGTGAATTCATTTATTAAACGTGAATTCATTTATTATACATAGCAATTAAATATAAATGATCCAAAACAGTATTTTATAATATGCAATTTCATTGATTTATGCAAAAAAAAAAGGTAGATGAAAATATTTCAATTCTTTCAGGTTTATTGATTATTAATTCCATAAGAAATAAAATTGAAATCAGTGATATCTGGAAAAGTGATAAAACTGATACACTAATGGATACATTACATGCAGTTATTTCTCTCTGCGAACAATGGAAATTTGCAATTACAACACTAATTGAGCAATGGAAGCAAGATATTGATAATCCATGGAAGGGTGACAGATCAATGATTTTAGCTTTTGAAATTCTTCAAAAATATGCTGATAAGGTATGCACATGCATATTCACTTGCGAAACATATATATGGATAATATCTTGTTAATGACACTACAAATGATTCTTCATACTATATTAGATAAAATTTAATAATTTATAATACCAATAAATTTTGAACTGAACCGATAATAGCAAAATATGCTATTGTCAGTAAGTATGTAAAATTATAGAAAATCATAATTTAAATTAATTAAATATAAATTCGATAAAAATATGATAATATATAAAAATAATTGCTTCATTTGACTGAACAATATTACATTTCTGAAATGATAATTAATAATTTTTTCTAATTACAACATATAACAATGGTTGCTTTTTACAGATTTTATCGTTGAAATTATTGAGCAATCAAATGAATGAATTAATGGGAGATAAAAGTGGAAAAAAAGAAATAGAACAAATTATTCGAAATGTTTTTGGTACAATGCCTATATTTACCTATAATACCGCAATGGAGCAAAATTGGAAAACTAAATTATGGGTAAAATAATTGCATTTATTATTACTTTGATTTCATTTTCAATTATAATTATTTTAATTTAAAATTCTGCATCCTGCATTAATTATTGGAATGTGGAAATATTTGAATGGGGCAAAAATTCATAAAAATAAAATTAAAATTTATTTTACTCCAATATTTTTATTATTTGAAAAATTTTGAAACAAACAAAATACAAACGATACAAAGGCCTAAAAAGCGAATCAACTGCCCATAATTGATGTTTGAATGCTAGAGTAATCCGATTTTTATTATTCACTTTTATTCTTGGCAAGTTTTAAATCAATTCCAGTTTTAGAATTCAAAACACAAAAATACTTCCATTACATCCTTTTCCTTGTTTTTTTTTTTTTGCACATGGTTAATACAATTAATTAGAGTGACGAAATAATTACGAATCATAATATTGACTGATAAATATAAGATTTTTGCACTAATTCAGGAAGCAGAACGATCCATCGGACCAATTGTGGAAAGAGCATTACCTGTTTTGAGGAAACGCTTACATTTTAATCAACTCACTGATGATGCTGTAAGCTTTCAAAAAAAAAAAAAAAAAAAGAATTAAAGACGAATAG